GTTTTGACTGACTAATGGTAAATGCTCAAATAGCCAAGTAGCGGGGCTAATTTAGCATGCAAGGACTATGGTTATCAGCTGAAAAAAGTTTTATGATTCAAACACAAATGGCGCCGGATTCCTTGCATCTAATAAATGAAGCCTTCTTTCGCTGAAAGAATGCCGCTCAATTATAATGCCCCACCGCTTAAAACCTCATCATACTGATCACAGTTTGATCGATCTCGGAGAAAACAGAGCGTGGTGCATTCCTCCTTAGTTCCATTGTCCAGTTTTCTTGATTTTCTTCTACAGAGGGCCTATTAAAAGTATTAACATATCTATCAACGCTTCAATGATTTTGACCCTCAGTGAAAGGTGCATTATTTGTGAGGCTAGTCACACAACATCAACGTGTCACTTGTCTCTTGGCCGGCTCGTGTTGCGATTCGATAAACGGTAAAAGCGTATATTTCATCGTTTGGACCCCACTTTCTTAGGCAAGCTGGAAAAAGTTCATCTCTGGTGCCGCAAAATACCCTTTGGTTATTTAAAGGTAAGTTAAAAAAGTGATAAAAAATGTCGCTTCATCGAATGCATTTTTAGTCGTCAAGCACGTGCTTTCATAACCTTTACAACTTCGATTGCTTAATTAAGTCCGCTTTCCTTGTAATAAACCTAGATTTTTTTTCTTTCATCAATTATTGTTTTATTTATGTCGAACCGATCGTTTTCATGGGCAATGCTTCTTTGCTGCCCCTCCGAACACGTATATTACAATCGAGGGCGCAGTTTCATAGCTTCACTATAATAATTAACATCCATAACGTGGATAAGATATCTGTAATGAACGAAGAAAGCGGTGGCAGTATGCTTTTATTTCTTTCAATCAAGACTTTTCAAACTCTCAAGCCTATTTTTATATCGGGCCAATTTTCTAGAGAGTTAGGTTTGACACTTCTTACAAAACATGCGCGTGCATTATCACGCATGTGCGCCGTAAGAATTTTTGTGATGCTTAAATCAATAGTATATTGATGTGTTTTGTGATGCCCCAGTTATTCAAAAGGTAGATAACGCTATCCACTGGATAAATATTTACCCAGTGGCTAGCGCAATAGGTTTCTCTTATGCTTATTCGCTGAATAGTGATTTATCCGGGAGATAGCGCTTTCCGACGCTTGAACAACTGGGCCAGAGCAATAGTAAAACCACGGCCACATCTTGGGAAAAGAAATGAACCGTAGAGTGTGCAAGCACCAACGCGATGGCTCAGCAGGAGAGCGTACTCAGAAGAGTGCGTATGTTTAGCCTGGAAAGCGGGGGCATTTTTCGCGTGAGTGAGCCCTCGGCATTTCTTGTGTGTAGTCGCCATCTTGGATATGGAAAGCAGACATTTTCCGAGTTGTTGCTCCAAGCCTCTGTTTCATAGCGAGGTCTCTTTTTCATAGCTTCTCTGTTCGGCTTATTCTTTTGATCAGCTCGCACTTTACCCCAAAAAGAGCCTCTTCACAACCCGTCCGTGATTTGGGAACTCCGCCTTTTTTATATAACAAGTGATGTTTTATACCTCTCATGCCATATTTCCTCAAAAAAGCTCCCTTCTAAGAATAAGT